CAAACCCAGAGAGAATGATTTCCACACCCACAATCAAATCAAAGCTACATGAAGCTTCTACCTAGCTCTAAGTGGATCAACCTGTAGCCTGAACCTATTTGAAAGGCTGTGGTTGGTTTTTTAAGCTTTACTTTCCTTTTAAGGCTCCTGGCTCAATTGCCAATATGTTTACACTCGATATGCTTGGTGTTTTTTGTTAAAATTCTTTTCACTATAATTGTTCTTAATTTTGGTTTTAAACTGATTACATGGCCAGGCAGCCTCAAGGCATGTAAATGGTTTCCTGCTGGTGAGTCATGATTCCAGCTTTCATTCCTTCCTATTAGCTTTATCCTTTTGAGGCCCGAAGGAACACATGAGCCTGGTGTAGGATTTTCTATTGGAAAATGTAAGCTTTGTGTTAGACACGGATTCAATGAGCAGCTTTCCAGACTCTTTCCCATTCTTTATAATCCAGCTCCTGCAACCAACTCTCTCACGTTGGCTTTTAGTGGCTTAAGTGTGGATTACACACATAGTAAACTGGGAATTTGTACGTTTTCGATTTCCTTTGGTTGATTTGTTTATTCTTGTAGCATACTTCTTGTTGCTGTAATATCTGTTGCAATTTGCTACTTTTGTGTTTAAAAATGTCCTTTGCATGTTTTGTTTTGAGCATACATTGTGTTTGGAAATATTTATAATGTAATCTAATGCAATTAAGTCATCTCAACATCTGCTCCAGATCTTCAAATGAAGAATAGCTCCTGTACTTTGTGTGCCTGCTTTCTGCCATGTGCCCCACATGATGGGAAATTGGATGAATCGCTAGGGTTACAGACATTGTTATACATGCTACTACCTTGAGTCACACTGCAATGTTTCCGCTTATTGAGCTGCATGGCAGAAAGGAGGATTAACTACACTTTTTCATTTTCAGCTATCAAAACTAGAATATTTATTTCGTGATAGTTTTCCTCAAGATAGATATTGTCTCAAAATATATTCAGATGGCAGTTTTAAACCCCTTGTAATAGTTGCAATAATATATTTGGGGAAGAGGGTAGTGTTTAGATGTGGATGAGTTTGAAATACGATTGGTTGGCAAAGTTGCTAACCTTTCCTGCATGTGCTTATCGTTGGGAATCCCACTCTAAACACCCCATGGCAAGGTTGATGTACCAACAAAGTGATTATCCAGTGGTATTTTGTCTCATCGTTACCCTAACAAAATGATTAATGCCCCCAAATCTGTGGAGCTGATTCTGTTCACTCTTTATATCCATGCTAAAGGCAGCAGTTGCACAGCACAGAAATTTCTCATTCCTTAACCATTCCACCCAGACATCAGTGACAGGTTGCTGAACATATGATGAAGTGTAGGTCTGGTCTATCTAGGTTCCAGGGTTTGGTCTGTGATGATTAATGCATAGCTCCAATGGCTGCGGCAGTCAAAGACGTTTAAAAATGTCCGACCTTGACCCTCTTGGAGATGAGGTAAACCTCAAGCCATTGCCCCAGACCATGCTGAAATTTCTCCCCTCGAACCACAGTTCACTCCTGCCTTTATTTTGAACTCATCTTGCGAATCATTAGTGAATTAGCGAAAAAAAATTGTCACTTAAAAATTAAATGCTATTGTTTGTTTCCAGTCTTGGAAGTAATCCATCAAATTATAAAATTAAGAGCAAGTGAAGCAAAAAACAGAATCCCCAAAGATCCATTAGAAATAACACTTATTTTTTTCTCTTTACTTCAATAGCTTTTCACAAACACGCTTAACTTTAGTACTGACACAATGACTTTAATCTCACATTACATGGAACAGTTTGAAAACCACTTACTCAGCTGTAGGTTTCACGCCACTTAATACTGACCTAAATGCAATAACTATTAAGTGCAATGACCTTGACTCCTGACCTAAAAAAGTGCATCATTCAAGGTGGCTTTGTGCTATATTACCTTCCATGCCTCTTTGAATCTTTTTGATGGTGCTTGTGCCCAAGGAATAAAAAGAATCAATACGATCGCCTTAATCTCTCACTCACGACATACCACTGTCCAACAACGTTTTGGATGGGATCCATCACACAGTTTCCAAATAAATTCATGAGCAAAAGCTGACCTTTGTTAAACAAAATTTCATTTTGGAATGTTGAACCTGAACCGCAGCCGTTGACTTGCCCCAGATTTTTTAATGAATTGCGCTGGTCTGAAGAACTAAGTGAGAAAAAATCAATCATCTGACTTCAAAATTATACCATCTACAAAGCACTGGAGCAGAAAATGAAGAATTCATTCTCTTCAGCATTTGCGAACCATTTCTGTTGTTCCTGTATAAAACCTAGCTTGTGCCTTTTCCTATGAAATGTTTTTTTTGTTAGAGAACCAGCAGAAATCAATACATTACTTAAGTCAATAGAGGAGGTTATGGTTTCTGCCATGTGTAAAGTGCCCACTTGAGGCAGAGTCCATTAATTCTTTTAAAGGATGGATGCTTTAAGATGAGGAATACAGTACAGCCTTGGTAGGTCCATACATCCCAACTTGATATAACAGGGCACAATCGGCAGTTAGCTCTTCCGCATTCACTGTGCACACGTGCGGGAAGCCAGCTGGCTTCATCAGGCTCCCAAACTCGCTGCTGTACTAGAAATCAAGATGGTCAACTTACAGGTCATCAGGTTGCTGACAATGTTACTTCCTGTGTACTGCATTGGTGAGACAGGTGATGTGTGCGTTTTGAATTTTTAGGGTAAGTAGATGTTAGGACCTGCACCGTCACCATGAACCTGAGTTACAGTGAAGCGTGTTATAATAGGGTTCTATTGTATTAAAGGTGAGCAATCAGAAAAGTACAATTAAGCTAAATACCTCAAGTGGAGAAAAACATGAGTGCTGGTGTAATGGGTTAAATGGCCTGTTTTTGTTCCATAAATTAACATGAATTCTAAACTGATGGTGTAAGTAGGGTCATTGGTATTGGCTAGTTTACACTGTGCCTTTTTGCCTGAGGCCAGCAACTGACACAATGGGAGTGCTGGGTGAGTGATAGCTCATGCCTGGCTTCTCTCAGGTCTGGTTACTTTGGCCAATAGTTATAAATACAGTTTTTAACAGGTCAGGATGAAGCTTAAATCTGATCTTCATGGTGGTGCTGCTGCAGTCAACCCTCATTACAACATGGGCTTAGAGACCCACTGTAAGTTTGTTTTATAATCCGTGCTATTTATCTTCTTTTTGTTAATGTCGCTTGCCAGGTATTTACCAAACACTGGAAGGTGATATGTAAATTGTGTCACTCTGCATGTTCCTGGAGTGTTAAAATCAAGACATCTGAGGCTGGCATGCTGGGGGAGCACTGCATGAGGTCATGTTATTTGGGTGAAATGTTAAAATGAGGTCCTGTCTGTTTGTCCAGGTGGCTTTGAAAGAACCTACGGGACCATTCAAAATGTAAAGGGAGTTTCTCTAGTGTCCTCATCAACAACGCTCCTTTTTAATAAAAAATTGGCCATTCACTTTGTGGCTGGTCATGGGACTTTATTGCGTGCAGTTTTGGCTGCTGCATTCGCCTATAAAATACACAGTCACTACATTATTCTGTGAAATGCATTGAGATATTTCAACATGGTGAAGCGCTATATCAAATGTAAAGATATAGTTTTCTTAGATCAGCTTCCAGTTATTGGCTTAACATAAAGTTGTTATTTGTGACTCTCTGTCACAGTAGTTTTACTCCAGAAAATACCTGTGGAAATCACTATGACTGCACTGCTAGCGGATGTTGCCAGTGTCCTAATCTGTTATGTCATTGGGACTTTCCAGACTTTTCTGCAGGGACTTCTTAGAGAGTCAGGAATGAACTACTTTGATGTGTGATTCTGAATTAAAGAGGTAATTGAAGCATTGTCAGGCATTCCACTGGATTCATCTGAGCAGCTGAGTGGCAACTGTAGCCAGAGTGTCTCTGCCAAGTTGTTCCAGTGAACCCTGGAATCAAGTGTCTGAGGCAGGTTCAGTTGGTAGCACTGTCATCTTTGAGTCAGAAGGTTGGGGGATCAAGCCCCACATTGAGACTTGGAACTCATATAGTCTAAGATGAAACTGCAATGCAGTTCTGTGGTATGCTGAATTGTTGGAGGTGCCGTCCTTCGGGTGAGATGTGAAACCAAGCCTCCATTTGCCTGTTCAGGCCAGGATTTCTTTATTATTATTAATACTAATATTTTCTTATAGATATCATCATGGGTAGAAAAAGTACTATTTGACAGCTGGGTTTAGATTTTTGCTGTGTGCTGTTTTTTTTTCTTTGATTGGCCCAGAGGGTGTAATGTAACTTGGGTGAAAACTTGGGTAACTTGTGGTCAGTTTAATTTAACTGTGTTTGCACAGGTTTCGAAAGGTCTCTCTGTGAAGTTAATAAACAGAGGTGGTAATTGAATTGCTGGCTTTGATTGTGCACAAGTGACCCTGTATTTTAGTCACAAAGAATGCCAGACTGCAAAATGTATTAAAATAAAAATCAATGTATTGAGTTGTGCACTGCTAATGCTCTATGTTTTGATGGGTGGTCTCCCATTTGTCCCTTTGCATGTGTGACCTTCTCCCTGTATATTCTGACATTGGCTCTCGCTCGTTCGGTCTCCTGCTCTTTCAGGGGATTTGTGATTGCAATTCAGGGACAGACACAGAGCGATCTTGGACACCATAGGAGTATCAGGCATTCCGTTTCACCCAACGCACCAATTCCGGACTCCAAATCACTTTCCTTCACCGCTTCGGCCAACCCAACCGGTTAACTCCCAAAACTCAAAATAACGAAACTCAACCAATTGAAGGACAAGACGGAGCCAGGGTGATTCCCACTCTCCCCACCAGATCTGGGGTCAGCCGGAAGGATGTGACAGACAATATCGCTCTCATACGGCAACTGAATAATATCGCTCTCCTATGGGAACCAAAACAGTCAATGGACTCTCTCTACAAGAACTCTACAAAGTCAAACCAACCAAGCAGTGATGGATCCTTTGAAATCTCAACAGTTTATGGCGGAGTTGGAGGTTGAAATGATGGCTGACATGTATAACAGGATGATGGGAGCGTGTCACAGCGTGTCTCCCCACTACAAGGTGCCAGAGTTATCTAAGGGGGAGGCTGTTTGCCTCAATCGCTGTGTCTCCAAATACCATGTTGTCCACGAGAGAATGGGGTGGAAACTAACGGAGCTTTCACTGCAGGATGAAGAACTACTGAAACGTGTCCAGCAAGGGGGCGGGGGATACTAACACTCCCCCCTCAAAACCTTCCCCCCTTTCCCCGAGACCTCCCCCAATTCTCTCCTGCTTTCTCCAACTCTCTCCCCCTTTTCACAACCCTCTCCTCATGTGGAGTCCTGTAGCATAGTAGTTAGATTGCTCACCTCACAAGCGAGAGGACCTGGATTCAATTTCCGGGCGGTTCAGGATGAAACCTTACTTTCCTTACTTCACACATACACCTCTGTTTACCTAGCAGTAAGTAGGAAGCTGCTTGTTAGTCGATTGGGTAATAATCCCTCTAAAATAATAATAATTTTGTAACTCAATTCATGACTCTTTATGGGACGTCGTTGTGTGCAATTGGCTGCCACATTTTGCCCACACAACACAGTCACTGCACTTTGCAGTATATTCTGTGAAGTGCTTTGAGACGTCTCGAATACATGATATAGCGCTATATCAAATGCAAGCATTATTATTATTATTTGTGAAGCGCTTTGAGACATCTCAGTGACTTAATAATACATTATATCAAATGCAAGGATTACTATCATTATTATTGGCAGTCTCATGCTTTCTGGTCAGAAGGTGGAGGATGGGGGGGGGGTTCAAGCTCACATCTTAATTATCTTAATTATTAATTAATTATCACATCTTAATTATCAAATTAATTCATAACACATATTAATTATTAATAATTGTGATAAGCCATTATATCAAATTATATCATTATTATATCATTATTATATTAAATTATATCATTATATCAAATGCAAGGATTGTTATTATTTATTATGTCAGGACTAGAACTCATATTCATAGGCACTTGAAGTGCCAAATTGTTGGAGATGCTCTCTTACTTTTTTGTGCTCTAGTCATTTTCGGAACACAGAGTTATCTCGGACCGACTGAATAACTCAGATTATCACTCCCCACCCCTTTGTGAATGTCACAAAATAGCCTTGATATTACCTTTCTATTATCACTGCTAAAGATGAAATGATATTGAGCAGCAATAAGTGGACAGAAGTTTATGTCCAGTACTAAAGGAAAGAGAAGAAAGCTACAATTCCCACATACTGTATGTACATTTAAACGATACATAATAGAAAGAAACGCTGTCTGACTGAACTCAAAGGTCAGTTTGAAGAGTTTTAGCTCTGAAAATAAATCTGCTAACTTGTGAAACATAAGATTGTGTAAATTATTAGCAAGGAATAAGTGTTGCAAAAGGTGCTCTTTTTGACAACAACAATTTGCTTTTATATTGGACCTTTACAGTAGCCTCCCAGACCACTGAGGGTAGTTTTTACAGTAGTTACAAAGAATGTTGTCTGGAGTCACTATTTAATCAATGTGTGTAGTGATGTTAAGGTTACCTACTTCTTGAACTTAATTTAGGGCAGAGTCCTAAAGAATGTACAGACAGTGAATTTGCTTCCGAAAACCTACCGTTACTGTGACTTAGGTTCAACAAGCAGAGAGAAGGGTGGTTTTGCAAAGAGTTAAATGAGGATTTCACATGTTATGTGCCGACCAATTATGCCATATTCACGCCAGTGAAGGTGACCGCAGATACCACCTTCTGTGCCACTCAGACCCCAGCTGGTGTCACAACAGGCGGCAATCAAGCATTAACTAGAAGGTGCATCTTGCAGGTCACTACTGCTTTGCTCATGAGATTGATGTATTTGCTTCTCATGAACTCTGTTATAGAAACAACTGAGGGAACAATAGAAATGTACATATAATGCACAATTCCTTTAAATCCTGGTACAATCAACTATTTTTATGTGATCTCAGTGACTGTCCTGCTGGTATATCATACCCACGTTGTCACTGTCTGACAATATTCATTGTAATAAAATGGGAACAGAAGTAGAACCTTCAGTTTTTCTGCTCTGCCATTAAGTTGGTGGCATCTCTCTAATTCTATTCACCTTTTCTTCATATTCCTTAATACCCTTGCTTATCAAGCATTATATCGTCCGTCCATCCGTCGGTCCGTTGGTCAGTCGGTCGGTCATTACTTTCACCTTTTATCACAAGATGTCAATCTGGCTCAGTTGTTAGTAATCTCTCCTCTGAGGCAGAAGGTTGTGGATTCAAACTCCACATTGGGACTTTGAGTTCATAATCTAGGCTGACACAGTGTATAGTACTGGGTGAACACTGCATTGCTGGAGATACTGTCCTTCGGGTGAGACATTAAACTGCGGTCCTATCTGCCTTTCCAGATGGATATTAAAGATCCATGCTCTATTAGAAAAGAGAAATTTCCCAGATAAAATTGGTCATTCACTTGATGGCTTTTTGTGAGACATGGCTGTGTGCAAATTGATTGCCCCATTCACAACCAAAATACATAGTTGCTATACTTTACAGTAAATCCTGTGAAGTGCTTCAAACCTTCCTCCTGATGTGAAAGGTACTATATCAAGTGCAAGGATTATTATCATAAATGTCTAAATCAACTCTGAATTTACAACCTTCTAAGGCAGTCTGTGTAGCGTTTGATAGTCTTCCTTCGGAATAAACTTCTTGACTGACAGTTGTTTAAGCATTGACTTCCTGACTCCGCTTTTTTATGTCTGTACGGGTGCATGGTCCATTGTTTACGTTTATGGTGCTTTGCTATTACAGGTGCGCAACTAGTTCAAAATTCACAATCAGTGCAACAGCAATATAATCAAGTTCACCAAACAACATGTCAGTTTGGTATAGTTATGATCCCATTAAATAGTGAAAGGTTATTCCCTCTGAGGTGAAATTGGAAACAAGGGGACATAAATTCAGGAATGTCATTGGAAAATTTAAAGTTAGAAGAAATTTTTTTCTGCAGAGTGAATATAGAATGCTTTTCCGCAAGTAACCTTTACACTGAGACCATAACCCCATTTAAAAGAGAAATGGATGAACATTGGAAAAATCAACAATATGAGCAGTTTGAGGAAAGAGCTGAAATTGGAATTAGTGAAGTTAGCTCCAGTGGACAAGTTAGCACCAACATAGGCATGATCAGCCAAATGGCTTCCTACTTACTCTTACCTCAGTAGAATCCCTCTCTCCCTCCTCAGTTGGTACAGATGGATGACCTCTCACCCCCCCACTGATATAACTTCTGTTCTTTGTCAACTACTTCTCTATTGATTCGACTTTCAATGGTTCAATACCTTTGAATTGGGAGGGCAGCTATAGTGGAATACATGGTCTTATAAAAATAGTAATCCTTGTATCTTAGTATAATGTCAGGAGGCCATCTCAAAGTTCTTCACAGGATTATTCTAAACTGTAGGACTGGGTATTTTATAGGCAAAGTGCAAGCAAACTTTGGACTCATTGAAGATTTTGGCTTCAACCATCTTTTTGAAATCATTCCACATTTCATATATTCTTAACCATTCTTTCAGACAAAAGGGATACCATTTATCTCAGAGATAATTTATTTCTCTATATCTTTGATGAATCAATGGAACAAAGAGGTAAAATGTGAAGACAGCAAAAGGTTTTATGCATTCTTAGGACTGTCGTCAATGAACATACTTTGCTATTTGATTTTTTTCTGCTCAAGGCATTCTTCATCCTTTCTCTTGGTAGCAACATTAGCGTTAAATTCTGGTGTCACACTTATTTACTCTACCCATTTATAGCACCTCATGCATCATTAAAACACATTTTACTTCAGTTTGTGCACCAACTTGATTATTTGACTCCAAGTTACAAAGTAGAAAATGTTTTATGCAATGTGCAAAATGACAGTTCACCTGCACTTAAATTGCATTGCCACTGAGATGCAGTGAAAAATGGCATCTTTGAATTAAACCCAGAAACTGTGAAAGCTGATGATCTGTTGCAGATTAATCCTTGCATTTTTTTTGATATAGCGCTTTTCACGTCGGGAGGACGTCCCAAAGCGCTTCACAGAACACACTGTACAACATGAAAGCAGCTTATTGAAACACAGCAGCTGAAAGACATTTAATTTTTTGATCTGAAGACTGGCAAGGCAGTGAGATTGAAGCAGAGTTCCATAGTTTTGGGGTATCGTGGCTGAAAGCATGACCTCCGATAGTGGAGCAGAGGGATTAAGGGACAGGCAGGAGGATGAAGCCAGCTGAACAAAGGTGGCAGACAGGTTGGAGAGGAAGAGAGATGCCAGGGCATGAATTGACTTGTACGTACGCGACTGTAAGGATCCAGAAATTGAACCATTCTGAAATAGGGAGCCATTGGAGCCTTGCAAAGACTGGGGTTATGGGGGGATGGAGTTTGATGCAGATGAGGATATTGATGGTGGAGATTTGAATTAATTAGATTTTATAAATGGTGGAGCTGGGCAGACTGGTGAGGAGAGCATTGGAAAAATCAAGTTAGGAGGTGAGGAATGTGTGGATAAGGGTGTTGACTGTATTGGGTGTGAGGTATGGTCTGAGGTGGGCAATATGGTGGAGGTTGGAGGAAACCGGACCTGGTTAGGGACCAGATGTGGGGTAGGAAAGACAGCTGAGGATCGAATCTGATGCCCAGGTTACTCATAGATTCAGTAACAACAACAACAACAAAATTACATTTGTAGAGCACCTTTCATGTCGGGAGGATGTCCAGAAGCGTTGATAAGTCTGGGGGATAGGTCGGAGAAGGAGGTCAGAGCCACAGGATAGAAGACATTGACAGGAGCCAAGGTGCATGGCTTCTGCCTTGTCAACATTCAATTGCAGAAAGTTTATGCTCATCCAGGCCTCAATGTCTGACAAACAAGCGGACAGAATATCAGTGAACCTGGGGTCCCAACTAGAGTAAAGAAGTAGATTTGTCTGCATGCATGTGGAAATTGACCCATGTCTGCATTTGACATCACTGAGAGGGAGCATGTAAATGAGGAAAAGAAGGGGGTCAAGGATGGAGCCTTGGCACATGTTGCAGGTGAATAAAAAGTAACATATTATAACACAGATATATATATGTGTATACTCCACATAATCCCCCAATCCCTTTCCTATACCTTTCCATTCCTTTCTCCATTATGT